CCCTCTCTGTCTCCTCCTTCACATGCTGCAACAGCTCCGGCGCAACCATCAACGTGCCTGCTGTCCTCACCAAGCTCCCAAAAACATACTGCTCTTCCAGGGCCAACTTAGAGGTGGCGCCCATGGCTTTGCCCTCTGTCTCTCTGGCCCGCTCTGCGTGCGCGTACTCGATGGTCTGGAGGCGACGGAACATCAGCTCTGCTGCCAGAGAGTTGCAACCGTTGATGCCATCTGTCTGCAACAGCTGTCGCACCATCATGCTGATCTGAAAATGCTCCATCACACCCCAAGTGCCACTGTCCAGCCGACACACTTGGCGGAAACGTTCATGGTGTTCGTCAAGGCCTAGACCCTCCACCTTCAAATAACTCAGGCGCCATCGAGCCGTCCTGGGGCCCGTGATCTTCCACCCCAATCAAACTCCTTTGAGGCTGCCACGACGTCACCTAACGGCATTTCTGGTGTTCCCAGGTTGTTCGACTTCCTGGGAAGGACTCGACCATCACACCTAGCAGGACGGTTGTTGAACTCCTCAACCAAAGTATCATCAATGCACATGCAAAACATCTGCTAACCTATGCACCGTTTTGGCACCCAATGTCTTGGCATCTGCAACACTGTCAACAACCTGTCCATACCGGTAACCATCAATGCACTCAGCTGCCACCCAGTACAACACACCTCCGACCAGATCAGCTGCACCCGGCGGCTTATTATCCGGAGGTGGGGCTGGGACTGCCGGGGCAGCCACCGCCACTGCCCCTCCTGCCGGAACCGCCACCACTGCACCTGCACCTGCCCCCCGGGCAGCTCGCTCTGTGGCCGCTAGTCTTGCTGCTTCATCCCGAATGCTCGCAACCTCAGCGGCCGTCCATGCCGGCAACCCATACACATTGCCTAGTGCCACTCCTGGGGGAAGCTGATGAGGTCCTGGACGAAGACGAAAGGAGCGAAGGTCTGAGTTGTCAACGGAGAGCTGTTCCACAAAGATGTCCCGATCTGGCGTACAAACAACGTACTCGTCAGCACCAATGTGATCAAGGATCATCCTCTCGTGAATCACCAATGGTCCAGGAACATCATACTCCAGAAGCGCCAACCGATTGCTGAGCATGCCGCCTCACTCGCAGCTCCGCAAGCTGCTGCTGCGCTATGATCTGGAGTGATGGTAGGGCTCTTCCAGGGCTCGGGTCTGACAAGGGACTCGAGTCCTTGACCCCCTCGGGGCGGGAACACCTCCAACAATAGAAGCACAACCCAGTAATGATGCCGCAACAGCACACCAAGAAAAGCACCACTCCAATGAGGAAATAGTCCCAAGGCAGCCCAAACTTCACTAGATTCACCTGAGGAAGGGTGGTGCTCGTTTCACCTGAGTCCACCTCAGTGCACACCCGCAAAGTCTCACTGACAGCCCTACCAATGGCCTGTTCCAACACGTGTTGGTCCACCACCTGCGTCCACCGAACCAGCGTCCCCAGTAAGAACCCTCCGATGTGGCCCAGCGCAAGACCGACCACAAAAGGGAGCCCACTCAGAAGACCCATGGCGTGGCCCCCAAAAAGACTTGAGAGAAAAAGGACAAGGTCGGCCGATCTTCAAACTCCTCACTCATCAACCACGTTCTAAAAACACTCATGGAGCTGCTCTTGCGTCCATAGTGTTCAGTTTGTTTGCAGGCAGTGATCCAGAAGCTCTTTTGCCCCATGGAAGGCAGCCTTCAAGGCTGGCTTTTGAGGTTATCCAACTTTTGACATGCGTTTGAGGTACAACTACACAGAAACCACCTCAGAAGGATATTTGTTTGCAGCTAGCTGCAACGGTTTTGGTTTTCAATGCAGCTGTCACTGTGAAAACAAGAAGATTGCACAGAGAAGTGCCAACATGTAGACTTGAGGGGCATACGATTCATGTACTCTTTGTCTCTCTGATCTGTTCTTTGTTTCCTCGTTCTCCTCGCGGGGCTTCCAAACCAAATGAGTCAACAGTCAACTCAGTGACCGTTTGCGCCTTCCAAGTTCCCAAGTTCCAGCAGACAAAGCTAGCCTTTGGTAGGCCATGGCCTCGAGTCTATTGCGCCGAGGCCATGCTTGTTTTCAAGCCGGTCTTGATTTACTTGACTCGTGACTTCCGGAGATACCTCTTTGGGTCCTCCTCACTCCATCACTCTTACTTCAGAATACTTTATGTATATATATATATATTGTATATATATGTATATATATATATTGTATATATGTATATATACATATTGTATATATGTATTTATACATATTGTATATATATATATATGTATATATATATATATATATCACTGACCACACGGTGACCCCACATGAAGGCGGACACTGCTTCTCAGGCTGTCACTGGAGGCAGCAAGGGATGACTTGCAGGGACTACGTGAAGACGAGGTGCTACGGAGCGCAAGGGACCGCAAGAGGTTCCAATCAAGCCTTTGAGTCACCAAACATGTGCGTATAGTATGCATGGAACAAAGTCCTATTCCGCAATATGCATGCACATGTATGCACATCACGCGTCACGCATAACGGCCATACATGTATAGACATTGAAGCATTCAGCAGCTAAGCGTCAGCAACTAAAGCAGCCCGTTCAGCAACAGCGCTTCAGCAACCAAGTGACATTGACAAGTTGCGATCTGTCGAAGGCCAGAGTCAGAGTATTTCGATGGTTTTTGATGTCTGAGAATTCGCATGAACGTTTTCTGGTCGTTCGAAACTCTTTCTTCCTCACATGTCATTTTCACTTCTAGCACAACCAATTGAGTGACCGAGTCCACACTTGACCATTCATAGTCCCAGCCTTACAACGACTTGCTCTTAAAATGTGTTTGGCATGTTTGGTCAATCTATGTGTCAATATGTTTGCTTCTTCTTTTCCCTGTGCGCACTACTTTGCACATCATCGTTGATTTGACAGACTTGAAGCAAACTGTGCACTTGCATTTCTTTGCCTCGGAAACGAGACGTTTCTGCCTTCCATGCTGTTAATACGAAGGTCCAAGCGAGAAGGAAAGCCCTCAAAAACCTTGATATTCTGCTTGGCGCCCACTTCCATGAAGCGTTGATGTTTATATAGAAAATGTAAAACCCGAACTCATTGGTGAAACTGTTATATAATGTTATATACATACCAGATCCTAAAAACTCTTCATTGCCTTGGCAGGAAGTGCGAGTTGACGCATAGCCGGCGGAATCCCACCTCCCACACTCAACCCCCCAGTTCAAGCCTTCCAAAGACGAGTTCTTCCAAGCAAGTTCAATGTTTTCTGCTTTGGTCCCTTTCGATCCGAGTCGGCTTTGCATGACAACCTGCATGTCATACGCTGCCTGCAATGAAGACATTGCCAGAACAATGGCAGACATAGCGCAAAAACAGGAAATTGGCAAGGCCACTGTGGAAAGCATCATTGAACATGTAGCATTAGTGTACTGTGAAAAGGGTGTTACCTTTGCATCACGGTGATGTGCCCGCCAAGCAGAGTCCTGCTGCTACCTTTCCCTGTGGGCAAGAAAGCAACAGTGTTGCCCGAAGGCCTCCGTTTTTGCTGAGGCAGCTATCAACATGTTGCAAGATGCAGAGGTGCGTGAAGCTTTTGAGATATTCAGGCTTTGGTGAATTGAACTAGCATGTTGTGCGGGAAAAAATAACCTGAAAAAATGAAATCTCAAATTAAACGTGCACCCTATGATATATTCTGTTATAGTCTTAGTTATATTCTACACAGGTATGATTGAGCCATGGAATGCCTCATTGAGTATGGCCTCGAGCAACAGACAACTGGTACCAGGCATCAATGCGGACTGGTAGAGGCACCAGAAAGTGAGAGTGAACATGTACTGTAAGAATATATATATATGTTTATCGGATTTGCACTTTTCAAGTGCTCAAACCAGGGTGATCATGGATGTCTTCCTTCCCTGGAAGGCTCAAGCGGGCTTGGACCATCGACTACCCTGGGGAGAGCTCCTGGCCGCTCTATGCAGATATCGGAAGTAAAGAGGTATGCAATGGGCCATTCTTGAACAAGAGACTACAAGCATCAGACAGTTGTTGACCGTCCAAATCCGTTACCCAAGCTAGTCCACTTCGTTTGAGAAGTCTGACACACAAGATTCATCATTGTGCATGATTTTTCATTGTTTATTGCCTCCTTAGAGAGGTATGAGAAGCACCCATAAGACTAGAAGAACAGAGACCCAAGGTGCAGGATTCTGTTCGTCAGCGTGTTTTCAGCTTCTCGGACACATTGAGGCTGTCCTAGCCCGATCGGGTGTCTCGGAGCAGTGCTTGGAACTGTCGGTGCCTCAGCACCTAGCCAGGCGCTAGTTGGAACCCTGGCCAACCGCAAATTGCATTGACACACTGAACCAACCTAAACGGACCAAGGGCAAAATTGTTTTTGCCCGCAGTGAGAGCCACCCACCCGCCGACCTCTCCAATCCATGATGAGCCTTCAATGACCTTTCGGATGATAGCAACGAATGTTCATCTCTGAAGTGGAAGATCAGTAGCCGGGGTCAAGCATTTCAGACATACCTGTATGCCCTTGTAGTAGGAGGTGTAGCCACAGCTGCAGTCAGGAAAACCTGTAGTACAGAAAACCTTCCGTGGATGGCTCAAGCGACTCAAGCGGTGGGCCCCTACTGCTCCACCCACATGAGACGACGTCCGTGAAATCCCATCGACGTCACATGCTCAGCTGGCCAAGACAACTTATGTTCCTTTGGCGACCTGGGTGGCTTAGTGATTCTTCACCCTGTTTTGCATCTTGCATCCATGACTTTCAGTTGCCTAGGGCCTAGATGTGATATATATATATATATATATAAAGTGATGATTACTAAAACTTGCTTATGCTTGCACCTGCCGAACGGTAACATGTGGATGAGGTTTGCGAATCACTAGGCGCAGTTACTTCTCACAAAAGCTAGATGGTGACTTCTTCGCAATGCGCCTGGATGGCCCCCCTGAGGAAAATGTCTACATGGTGCTGGATAGCCTTCATAGGCTTACAGTCCCAAGTTCAAGGACTCAGTTGGTCATTCATAGCTGTGGAGCTAGCAACCCACGCAGCCTTCAACCCACCAAGAGGCTTTCACATTTATCAGATCGCATTGCTTTGCTGTGCAGAGCCTGCATATTTGCATCCTTGCCGTAGAAGTCAGGCGGTTAGCAACAGTCCCTCGCCACTGGGGCGGGCAGGCATGTGATGATGCACACCCAGGCAACACAAACACACACACAGAAACACTTGTTCCTTTGAAGATTGATGTCATTCAGAGCCAATGACAGGCTCTTCCCTGGAACTCAGTTTGGATATAGAAGCCAGAACAAGATAGCAAGTAACCACACGCATAACTATCCACAAGCATGGTTGAGAAAAACACATGCGCGGAGATGCGGTTGAATAAGATTGCGTGACAGCATAATTTATCTAAAGATGAAACAACCTTGGATTATGTGAAAGGCTGAACAGCTGGCTGCTAGCCAATGCTCATGCTTCTCAGTCCGCAGTTGTACATCAAACCCTGGCAACATCACTGGAACTTTGTCAGCGACTGCTTTGGCTGTTTCTAGTTGACAGGAGTGAACACAGCATACAGTGAAGCATCCATAAGAAGTGCCAGCACAGAAGAATTTTCCTCAGTCTTTTTTGCCCCGGAGTCCCGGAGGGTGTAGCATAATTTATGTCCATCGAGTCATGCGGTCTGAAATGTGGACAACCGCAGGAGTTCTGAAAGCAGAGTAAGTAAGCGACGCACACAGTGATGTATTGTAGTAATTGCGCTCTCGTTGAGACACTGGTGTCATGTTCTTATCAACTTTGTTCATTAGGTTCAGTTGCTGTTCCGGACCTTGTCAGAGCCACCTTTTGCAAGGAGCAGAGAGGGAAGTGCATCGCCACCAGCCGCTGGGATTTCCCATAGAGCAGCCATAGCATGTTCGTTAGCTGACGTCCTGCAATCAAGATCATTGTAGGGTTCAAAATGTGGGCAAATAGCTACTAGTAGCAAAGGGCATCGCTACTGAATGGAAAAGTGCAGAGATAGTAGCTCCTGGCACTACTACTAGTGACAAGAAGCTACTAGTAACAAGGGGCAAATGTAACTCCTGGACCTTTGGCGTGAAGCAGCGTTACAGGGTGGCGTTTTTCTGCCAGTTTCCAGCTGCACTTTGGCCGTTCCTTTGCCATGCTCCTTTCTGAAGTTCCAGACATTGCCTTGATTGGCGGTTTTCGGTGAAAGGCTGAACAAAGAACAATGTTAGTAAAGAATCCTTTGTTTCATCCCTGCCTGGTGTGTCTCGGCCGCCTTGGCCTCAGATCTCAGGTTGGAGATCTCAGCCTCAGGGGCTTCAATCGTACGGCGGGAGGCGTAGGGCAGGGTTTTGGTCAGTATGGCAAGTGAAGGCACATCTCCTCAACAAAGCTCTGCATTGGCAGTCCTTCCAGTCCTTCCTTACCGCAGAATGGATGCGCACTTTGCGACATGGGAGACTTGACTGTCGCACCAAACATCGGGGTGCTGTTTGGTGTTTGGGCAAAGGCTGGCGGTGCAGCTGGAGATGGAGGAGATGTGCCACTGAAAGCTTCTTGGTTTGCGCTACAATGTGTCATGACAGTGTCATGATCTCACAAAACTAAGTCGACCTTTCAGTCCAGAGTCCAGTGCTATCTCAGATTGCCAGCTTGGCGGCTTGCCGCTCATGAATCTACAGCTTTTGCAGTCTTTTGAGCTTGTTCAATGCTTGGCAGCCAAGGCAGAGACTTCAATCGACACCTATTATGGAGGGGATCGAGCAGCTTGTCTCTACCAACCAAAATATGCAGCACAATTTGCCGGATGGATCCAAGGTGCTGGACGATTGCACAGGCCTGAAGCAGACTTGGGCATGCTCAGAGACTTGGCTGACCGCTCTTTCGTGAAGAACAAATGTGGAGTTTGTTCTTTGTTGCCCAACCACATACTCCAGCTGCAAGTGACCCTTTGATCGTCAGAATCATTGCGTCTCTGACCCAAGGATGTAAATTCAACTGCTGCCCTGTGTGAGAGCTACAAGGCCTCCCAAGGCCACCTTGACAAATACCATGAACGAGTCATGATGACTTGGCATTGCCGAGTAGAGTAGAGAAATTGTTTCGAAAGACTAATAGCACACATCACCACTGTGCCACATTGTTAGATATGCCTTTTGGCACCCCTGTGTAGGAGGCAATTTCTACCGCTGCTCCTGGAAGATGCGGGCGGACAACTTAGATGGCATGACATGATGAGCACTTGTGCCAGGAGCCCTTTGAAGCACGTTGCAAAATGATGATGCTTGAAGACCAGTGATATATTGAGCCGAACGGTTAAAGTAGCAACATGAGGTAAAAGAGCATCTCAAGCAGCTTAGATCCCTTGCAAACAGTGCAATACACTACACACCAGACTGAAGGGTCCTTTGCAATGATGCTAGTATGCTAGCTTTTGACTGTACGCCGAGAAACCAAAAACTGATGATCAAGAAGAAGAACCGCCAGAGTGCTACTTAGATCAGAAGGCACGAAGCTGACAGGAGCGCAGAACGTGTTTTCAGACCAAGAAGGCTCAGAGCAGTCTTGGTGCACATCCACAAGACATGTTTGCTACGTTAAGACTGCAGCGCACGCCTCAAGTGTTTGCAAGTCAAAATGACCAAGGGCAGGCTCATAGGCTTTGCAAGATCTCCCTACTGTGCCACAAAGTTCATGTTGTGGCCTTGTCCCCGTTGTCAGATACAGTATATGTTTGTGCAGACATCACCGTCCTCAATCCTTGAAGCCTTGACTCATTGACCATTTTCCTGAGATTCATTATATATATATACAGCCCCTTACTATGCAGAGTCAAACGCTTTCCATACAAAACAGGATGCTAGTAGGCTCGCCAACACTGAAAGGAATGCATGACCTGACACAGGCCGGCGTGTGCAGTCGGCAGGGAGACAGCTCTGCAAATGCGACGGGCCAATAGAGGCAGAGAGGCCTCAGAGAGGGGGGAAATCAGAGATGAAAGCATTGCACAATTTCAGGTGCCGGTGTCTTGCTGACAAGAGAGACATGTGCTGGAAAGCTGACGAGCTGACATGACAAGCCATCAATCTCCGGCTTTGCCAGGCAAGGCTCCACGTGCAAATCACCAGCTACTGCTGGTGAGGCACACTGAGTGCCGGCGTTCCACCTAGCCAGCAGCTGCAAGCAATGCGGAAAATTGCTTTGAGACGCGAGCTGCATTAGGCTTACTTTAAATGCCAGACATAGAAGGTGACTTCTCATTTCTTTGAGAATATGCAATGGTATAAATACATGCAGTGTACATATATTTTACTGACAGTGCATACATTTATCCATCAGGGCTCTTGGCACTAGTTGAAAAAAGCGCAGGAACCAGGGCAAGACAAATATCTCAAAATTAGGGGCTCATGCAAAACACTGCAAGGGGTATAACGCCCAACATGATCAATGTCGGAGCCGAATCATCAATTTGTTCCGAAGATGAAGAGAAACCGTTTGAAAGACGATGGAAGACCAAAGCGTCGAACGTAAAGATCTTTGGAAGAACAAGGCAACAGTGGCATTTGCTCGCCATCCTTACCCAGGTGCCGCTCCGCTGCGCGGCCGGACTTCAGTGTTTCCCTCTCGGAGCTCCAGCATGTATGGCAAGGCAGCGCATTTGGGCCATTCTTCTTGAGTCCCAAGTAACTTGCGGTTTAGCCGGTTTAGATACCTCGTGCTAACTTCCTTGATGATGTTGTAAGTACATGGGTGTGCTAAGACCTGGACACGAGCATTCATACCTACTTCATTGGCATTTCACATCCAAGTGATATTGGCACGCTTGGGCTTGGAATTGAAAAGAACACTTTCATGTGCACACTTTAAGGTCGCTTGTTTTGAGTGCATGAGGCGCAGCGGAGAGACCATTCCAAGCTGTACGAGACTTAGCTAGCCCTGCCAACAGCCAGAGCTCAAACTCATTTGAGACACTTTGTGAACAAAGAACACATACCATCATAGAATCCAGGGCGAGAAACTGTTCAGAGCTTGCAGTGGTCATGCAGATACACATCTTTTCAAATCCTTTTGAAGGCACCAGTTGTACCACATACATTTTTTTGAAGGACTGCTTTCAACCTTCGGCCATGGGTTTAATTTGTGCTGAACAGTCAGTCAAAAGAGCGGTGTGGACATTTGCAAAGCGATACTGATCCACAGGCTCTGGTTCGGGTACGAGAATCCAATCTATTCCGCTGCTTCATAATTGGATAGTCGATAAGCAAAACAGATTACAGCAATCTATGGAGCAGCTTCTACTTGTGCCAATGACACACTCCCTGAGGCTGGACTTTTCAAGGTGCTCTGCAGTGACAAAGGGTTTTCCTTTTTCTTTGTTTTTCTAGAAGCGATGGCCTCCAACCTAAAGCGATGGCCTCCAACCCAAAAGCGATGGCCTCCAACTTAGTAGCGATGGCCTCCAATCGCTTTCATTGTTTGGGCTTGGCTTGAGGCACGAACTGTTCTCGTTTTTTTTTCTTTGTTTGCTTTTGCCCTGCCCTCGAATCTCAAAAACATTTGGTTGTTGCATATATTTCAATGGGGCAAGCTTGAGGCACAGATGTTGTGATGGCATCAACCTTTCTTTGAATACTGTCTATATATAGTTTGTGCTGTACGTTTAGCAGTTGAGGGTCCTGATTCTGAGATGAGTTGCCACTACCCTTGCAAGTCCAGGCCCTGGCTCGAATCCGCCTTGCCATCTCGAGGTGTGTGTGTGTGTGTGTTTTCTGTTGGGCTCTGTCTGTCATAACAATTGATTTCGAGGCCTCGACACGGGCATAGAATTGAGCGCAGCTCACCCATTAGAAGTGACTGATCTACTCTGCCACAAGCAAGGTCTTGCAAATCTATGCAAGCAATTAATGTAATTGCAACTGCAACTGTTTTCTTAATGCAAGCACATACAAACAATGGACTTGAACACACACACAGACATGCACACACACAAACACTGCCAACCGTCGCGAGGGACTTTACTGCGCTTCAGCAGCTGGACCGTGATGCACCATCTGTGGCTGGATTTTTTCCTCGAGGACGGGCTGTGGTTGGTGTGCGGGAAGCAGCGCATATATATATATATAATATTATGTTATGTACACATACATTGAGGAGGTTTGCTGGTTCACGAGAGTAAGATAGAAACAAATTCTCCCATTTCGCGCTCATAATTGAATTGTTGATCCAAAGTCAGCAGAGGTGTGGAGAACCTTTGCTTTTGAACCTGTTCCGTGACGATGCCAGATCTGTGGCAAGGAGACTTCATGGAAGCTTTGCGGGCTTTGCCGTGTGCATTGTCCTTGGAAGAAAGGCCTGGCAAGCCTGACAAGCCAGCGGGGAGCGTGGCAAATGTGATTAGCACGAGCACTCAATGCAACTGGTCAAACTTTTTACTCAGAGCCCTTCTTTTTGACCACATTGCTTTCCAGGCATCAGATTGCCTCCCTTTTCTCTCCGGCAGGCCGGGTTACTCGCGCAGCCGACCGAAATGCTGTCCTGCTCCTCCTCCTCCTGCTGCTGCTGCTGCTGCTAGTACTAGTTGTATTTATGTATATATATATACATAGACATAATGGTGTCTACCTCAATGTTTATACTTCCGGCTGCTACCGCCGATCCTACTAATACCGCTGCCTTGCACTACAAGCCCAACTCGATATGTGACAAAATACCGACCTTCCTCAGGAAGCGCATCAATCCCCTCGAGCTCCAAGTATCGAAACCAGAGTTGCCAACGGAATGCTCAAAGGAAATGGCGCCACACGCGAGTTTCCTAACAATGGTGCATGGTGCATTGATACCGAGTATGAGATTGAATGACCTGCAGTTTAATTGCCATTGTACATTTCTTCAGCTTTTGTGTTGGCACACGCTTTGGCAACCACTGGGCAGGTGATGCACGCCATGTATGCTATCCACTGTTTTTGCAGAGTGTGATGCCAGAGAGACTGGAGGCGACCTCCAAGCTTGCTAAAGCTCTTCTGGATGTACAACTTGCTGATTTTGTTTTCCAACCAACCATCTTAGTTGCTTTTGTCACAGATCTCTGCATGCACACAACCAATGTTGCTTTGGCGGTTGTAGCTGTATGAGCGGGTTAGCAGCCAGTTGTGAATAAACTTAGAAACCGGATTGAGCAGGACGCCTGATGTAGATCCGCACAGCTGAGGTGTTGTGTTACCAACTTGCTCAGAGTTTGTTGTGTGTGTGTGTGTGTGTGTGGGAAGACCTTTGCATTGTACGCACCGCAGCCAAGCTGGCTCAGCATTGGTTTTGATCCACCATAGCTTTGGCCCTGCCAATCAGGTTTTTTCTCTCACTTGTTCTGTGGACGTCATGAAGGTAAAGAGCAGACACTTCTCAGACATATTTCTAAACATGCCAAATGGGTCCACTAGTGCTTCAGGAGGAAGAACGTCTTATGACTTGGTGAATCAGCGGCGGTATTACGAAATCCATCTCGCGTGGCCAGTGTGGGACGGTCAAATATCACAAATTATAGCAATTAAGCAGCTTTGGAGGGAGACAATTCGAACGTGTGAGGTGACTTTTAGATTCCAAGGGGCAAGGGTTGTCAATTTGGAATCTCCAAGAAGAACAACTATTGTCCTAGTGGTGCAAAGTTGAACACTGTCTTTGCAGATGTAGAGCATGAAATATGAAGAATCATTGGAAGCTCAGACCAGTTTGACCCACATTTGAAGACCTCTGGCCTCCAACCTCAGGTTGACAGCTTCTTTGTGTTACTTTGGTTACTGAGCTTTTCTGTGTTGCTTCAATCCATTTTCCAATTTGTTTGATCTCAAGATTATCCACTTGCCAACGCCCACTTCTCTCACGTCCTCGCCATGGGAAGACAACGCCACTGGAAGGCCGAGGTGTGGCGCCCGGTTTGGCTGTTGTTTCGCCGGTGGGGTTTTGGTGCTCGGAACTCGATGGATACGACTGTTTACTGCTAAGGACTATGTCTGGAAGCAGGACTCTTGGCTCCAACCACCATGTAGACAACCCGAAGCATGTTTCTAATAGCTTCTTGTTACTACTAGTAAGGCACTTGTTGCTAGAAGCGATGCACTTGTTCCTAGTAGCTTATTAGACGACCCATAATCTGGAAAGAAACATGTTGCCAATGTTGCCGGCTATCTTCTTGAAGCATACGGCCTCACCACCAACGTTGCAGTGGTTGGTTGGCTCAGTTTCCTGTTCCTGGTTTTCATATTAAATCGCACTGCAGCCCCCGTGCAGCGTAGATAAAGTGACCAAACTCCTCCGTGCATAAGGCATTTGGTCAATTCTACCCCCCCCCCCCAAAACATCTATCGGATGCCTTTGCTTTCCATGTCCTTTTTGTGTGCGGCTGACAGACACAATTTCAGATCAATGACAAGGAATGCCAGCAGTCCATTACATACGAGGTATGGCCAGGAACAGTCTTTTACGCCTATGTCAAAGATCCGTTGGCAACTTGGCAGATGCCTGACACTGACTGGAGTAGACAAAGTTTAGTACGAAGATCAATTCAAATCAGCATGCGTTGTGCGATGCTTTTCAAAGTAAATGTAGGATGTTGCTAGAGTTGCACGAGAAGCTTACTGGGATTATGATTTCTGTATGCACATTAATATACCGTGTATATATATATATACACACACCTTGTCGAAGTTTACTCACTCTTCCCTCCGGTTTGCTGGTTGGACGATTCTGTGACAGACAGAGGAATGCTTTGCAGCATTGGCTGACTAGTATCAGCAAACTAGCCAACTGCAGCTTTGATCCTGTGCCACCTGTTGCTGCAAGCTGCTGAATTGTGCAGGCTCTCTCTAGCTGGATTGAAGCGGGTTGACACCACCAGCTCAGCTTTGTCCCACACTTTATGATCACCCCTACACTGGTTGCCTTTTGGACATGCAACTGAGGCGCGACAAAGAACTGGTTGGTACCGCAGCTGCAAGGAACATCCCAAGAAATCTGAGGTAGAAGTTGAACACAGGCTCTAATGTGTTACAAACTTAAGGCAGAATCTAAATGCTGCATGACAGACCGAAAAGAAGACTCAGAAGAGCCAACAAGGGTAAGAACCTTGTACCAACAAAGACAGTCACAGAAAGAGCCAACGGGGGACTCTCCGAAGCAACGTGTCAAGTACATCATTCTATATCCTATTTTGCCTTTCCAGACAATCGGCTCTCAAAGGAATTATTTCTTGTGACCTTTGGGGAAAGTTCACTCAGGTATCAATACATCATCGCGGGATGGGAACAGAAAATGCAAAAATATGAGGCTGAATGGGATGAGAGACTCAGTCGATCTCAGTCATGCAGTTTTGTAAGACTGTGCGACATTGGAAGGATTTCTCAAGCATGTACAGTGATGCATGGGTAATTACCACACATGATTTTTTTGCTAGGCGTGTCAGGAGCATTTCCTCCTAATTGAAGTTGCCAGGCTTGGGAAGCCACGGGGCTCCACACCGAGTTTTTCAGCGAGGAGGAGGTTTTTCGAGGGGCCCCTCGCAGAAGATCACCATGGTCATGAGATGCCATGAGTGGGTGATTGGCACGAGAGCGCAAGGGACAAACCCAAGAACAGATGAGCTTTTTGACTCCAAAGCTGATTCGAGATTGCAAATGATTTTGTGAAGCTCTTTGGAACGTCTGGTTTGTGGACTGTCCTTCTTTGACTATTGCTTGACTGTCAGATTGATCAACCGTTCTGAGGTGAAGATGTGGAAGGAATGCGACCCGGACCAGCTCGAGAGGGCCTCCTGGTTGAAAAGTATGTATGTATATATGTGTATAAATTATATATGTGTATAAATTATATATTAGATGTGATATATCATATATGATTATATAGGCATATTATGGACAGGACAACTCAAGGGATTCATTCTGACAAACAGTAACCTAAAGATATCAGCTCAAATGATCAGCTACATTTCACGATTCAGATGATCTGCTCTGTACATATGCGAGCCGTCGAGCCTGCCAAGCCTGCCGCACTCAGGTGGTTGCATGGTGGGATGAAAACGACCTCCTTGGCCTGCCAGTGGATCCAGGCCCAACTGTCTTGTCTTCTTGGCGGCGATGAGCTGACCTGGACAGACCTTCTCAAAACAAAGCTTGACCTGAAGCCAAAAGATGTTAGTATATAGATTGCTAGCTGTGGCAGCTCAATCTCATTGCCGGTGTTGTCACATGATGGCACCCCATCGAAGGCTGCGAAGTTTGGAAACGAGCCAGAGCAGATAGTCCCTGGGACATGCTGGGAGACAATTGTACTGAAGGGATGGGTCGGATGAGTTGTGTCATCAAACGTGTTGGCCTACTGCTCTCCAACCACTTTTGGATAGCTTGAATTAGTTGATGCAATCTAATTAGATCCCTGGTCCCTCATCTTCAACTTTTCTAGTTGTAGGCTTTGGATCGAGCAAGTCACGGAGTGCCCGGCTGGCGCTCTTTTTGTCCGATGCATCGATAGTCAGAATAACATTAGGCAATGAACTTCTCATACAAGGTTTTTGCTGAAATGTCCTAGTGTATCTCACCTGGTTGAACTGTTGAAGGGGGCTTCCATTATATAGATTAAAGCTAGAGGCAAATTCGTTCAAGGTTCGTCTTCACTTCTGGAGTCACTCACTGAGGGCGTGATGCCGTTTTCCCGCCTCGAGTCACGGGCTACAAACCCTACGGAACGTTGGAGACGCTTGGCAGTCTCTCCATTTCAACACTCCTCGACAAATTGTTCCGGCAATGTGTGCCGGTGTACGTGTTCAATTCCAACTGTTTCAAATCTCTAGGTACTTGCGAAGAATTATTTGTTCGGCGGTTGTTGATGCACCTTTTGTGCAGCAGGTTGGGACTTCATACTTGAAGTTTCCTGTGTACAGTACACCTCATATGTAAGCACAGTTCATGAACAACTTGTACTTTTGGCTCAAGTGATGAAAAAGGTCCGCAGCCGCTGCCTCGTCGCGGTCACGACGGATCTTAACTTTGACTTGTTGTTTTGGTTGTTGTTTGTGTTGGTGCTCCGTTTTTCAACGGTTCAAGTGGTTATCAGCCGTATCGGCTTTTGATTGTTTTCCTGTTCTTGTTACAACACAACAACATCTTTCATTAGTGTGGTTGCGGGGTCCACAGAAAACCCGTGCATGTCAAGTCGGCATCCTCGAGAGCCTTCCCGTTCGCCACCTCGTCGACCGTGGCGGCCTCCTGAGCCGCCAGGGCCGCCACCAAGGAGGCCACCAACGCCTCCGGAGCCTCCGAGGCGTGGCATTCGGTCAGGTGCTGCCGCACGGTGACGCAGGGAAGCGTACATGGTCAATTCGGGAGGCGATCGAGCGACGATTCCGATTGTTCACGCTGGCGGCCAAAGGAGGCCACTTGGGACTTCGAGGTATTGGGAGCCGAGTGCAAGTGAGGCTGAATCGGACGAAGTTGAGTTTGTTGCGCATACATCAGCAATTGATTTGACTTCGTTGCAGGCTGAGCATCTTGTGCCGCGTTCAAGGCTCTACAATCCGTACGTCTTCGATCATTCGCACGGCTCGTTAAGGCCCCAAGGCCTGTTCCGAGTCGAGCGGATTCGAGTGTTGTTGACACGCCTGCCGGAAATCGGCCTTACGACATCCTCAAGTACTACCACCCGGCGCCTGGAGTCGTTCTTCACCCGTGGTCGCGAGTTGACATTGTTTACAGAGAGGCCTTGACTTTTCCGTCTTCAGCCAAGTTTTGATCCGGTGATTGCATTGGACTACCATCAGGTCCTTGACGTTGACCGGAGTGCCAATCCTCCGGATCGTGTGGATCATATTGGTAATCTGCCTGCGGGCCACGTTGCAGCAGTTCGTCGCTTGCGAAGGGAGATTGAAGAGGTGGGCTTGCGTTGTCGAGTGAAGATCATTGTTTTGTCGCACATTCACGACAGTGTGGTGAACGAGAGGAACTTGATCACTGCAGTACAACAGAGTTCATTGTCGGTTGATTGTGTGATTGTCACTCGTGAGAGGACAGGTCCAGCAGGAAAGTTTTGAGATCGTTGACTCGTGGTCAGGCTGTGATTTTGGACGACAACGTTGAGGTACTGCGTGAGTTCAGTGCAGCGAGCCTCATTGCTATTCAGATTCGCAAGCCTCGGGTCGCAGCGATTTTTGGTGAAGAGCAAAGGTCTTGGAGCTTTTCAGCACCTTGGTTGGTGGATCGTTTGGTGACTTTCGTGCATCACCATTCGAGTCCAGTTGAGGAGGAAGAGTGAAGTTGCATCGAAGCTGCTCCGGTCCGGCTGCTTTGAGCGCCGCGGAGCCTTGTTCTTCGCTAGGCCAGTTCCCGAAAGTGCCTGTGCCAATCGTGCATTCGTTCCCGTCAAAAGAAAGAGGCGATTGGGAGTGTTTGTATTTTTGGTCGATCAATATGTTAGTTCAGATACTACTGTTGGTGGTATGGCAGTTGCTGTTAGGAGCAGGTCCCAACCCTCCCATGGTTCTGGAACACCTCAAGGGGGAAGGAGATCAAAACCTCCAAAGAGATCTTTGAGCAGAGTCATCAAAAACATCCCGCCGGGTGTGGAATCGCACGTGTAGTCGTGCAAATTTTGAATCAAACGTGCAAGCCCTCTCAGTACTTTTGGTTGTTCGATGATGTTTTTTTGGGGTCCCGGATCCTTTCATTTTTAAAGCCGAATCTGCCGAAACCCAAGCGCCAGCGCAAAATCCGTCGCCGTTTTTGTCCCGGGCTGTCCTCAACTTTCATGCGTCCTGTCTCAAGTAGACTTGCGCAGTTTTTTGCACAAGTTAGTACACGTGGTGTTTTCCCAACGCCACTGCCATCTGCGAATCACACGACTAATCGATGACAATGTTATGAAACCGATGACAATGC